GTATTTTTTAATCTCTCCTCCAAAGATGTCCACACTCTGTCCCTGGAACCTGTGATGATGTCACCTTACACAGTAAAAGGAACTCTGAGGATATAATTAGGGATCTTGACATGAAAAGATTTCATCAGACTATCTACAGAAGGCCAGTGTGATCACAAGGGTCCTAATAAGAAGGAAGCAGCACAGTCAGAAAGAGAGGGGAGCTACGAGGATGAAAACGGATGAGGATCTGTTTTGAATACGGAGGAAGGGGACATGAGCCAAGGCTTTCCCCCTAAGGCCTCCAGAAGGAACTCAGCCTGCTGACCTTTTGTTTTGACTTTAGCCTGAAAGGCCCGCTCAGACCTCTGACTTCTGAAACTGTAAGATAATAGATTTATGTTTAGAACTAGAATTGTTAGCATAGTAATGGGAAAATACGGTGCAGTGCTGTGGCATAGAAAGTGAAGCCTCTGCCTGCAACGATGGCATCCCATATGGGCATCAGTTCAACTCCTGGCTGCTCCACTTCTCATCCAGCTCCCTGATGATGTGCCTGGGAAAGCAGCAGAGAATGGCCCAAGCACTTGGGTCCCTGCACCCACGTGGGAGACCTGGAAGAAACTCCTTGCTCCTGGCTTCAGCCAGGCTAGCCTCTGCCATTGCGGCCATTTGGGAAGTGAACCACCGGATGGAAGATGTTTCTCTCTTTCTCTAACTCTGCCTTTGAAATGAATAAATAAATCTTTTTAAAAAGAGTAATAGGAAAATAATACATAGCCTGAGGACAGACAGTGCTTCATATTCATCCTTTAATCCACAACTTGCAGCCTGGAGCCCTGTTAACAAAGTACATCCTCATAAATCACTGAGGTACCACCCAGGACACTTTATTCTCCTTGTCCTGTAGCCAGTCACTGCTAAGTTTGCTCGATTCAACCACTGCAATCCCCTCCAGTTTCACCCTTTCCTTCCCTTTTCTACAACTCATGTAGAGGGCTGTGATCATCTCTGAACATTTCTGGTTCTCCCTCACTTCTACCATACACAGTTCAGCTAGATTCATATCTCCAAGAACCACTTTGATCACATCATACCTCAAACTTCAAAACCTTCCCTTGGGGCCGGCATTGTGGCGCAGCAGGTGAAGCCGCTGCTTGTAAGCCAGCACTCCATATCAGAATGTTGTTTCAATTCCCACCTGCTTAGCTTACAATGTAGCTCCCTGTTATTGTGCCTGGGAAAGTAGCAGAAGATGGCCTGGGCCATTGTTACCCATCTGGGAGACCCAGATGGAGTACCTGGCTCTTGGCTTCAGTTTGGCCCAGCCCTCCCTATTGCGGCCATTTGGGGAGTTAACCAGTGGATGGAAGGTCTTTCTCTCTCCTTGTCTTTCTTGTTCTGTCTTTCAAATAAATAAATCTTTAGAAAAGGAAAAAAAAAAAAAAAAACCCTTCCTTAGCTCTTTCTCTTGATGGCAAAGGAAGTCCAAATTTCTTATCCTAGTATTGACATCCTTCTCATTCCAAACTTCCTATCCAACCTTCTTACCCATGGATCTCTTCCAAGTCCTTGAACTCCAGCCAAACCACTCTTCATATATTCCCTCTAAACCATCACCATGAGACCTTTGTTCATGCTGTTCTCTCCTTCTACAATGTCTTTCCTTTACATCTGCACACCCCCAAACCTTAGCCATCACTCAAATCCCAGCTTAAATGACAGTTCCTCCATAAATCGACTCTTAAAGTCCATTTCCCCTCCCGTTACCCCTACCATAAGCTGGCAATATTACCTCATTCACTGAGCCTTCATCACACTTATCTACACGTCTGTTATCTGAAGTAGGAAAGAGCCCAGGCTTCAGAGTCAAATGGATTCAGATACAATATGACCCTCTTGTACTAGTTACTTAACTTTCTCTGAGCCTTGGCCTCCTCATCCGCAAAATGGGCATCATATCTGTCTTACTAGGTTTCTGAGAAGAAACATATAGGTGTCTAATATAGCAATTATTCAACAGTCAGTGCAGCAACATTATCCTAACTTAAATACACGTTATTATAACTTAAATACATATCAAATTCCACTAAAGGCTTAAGGGAAAGATTTATGTCCATTTCATTTTTAGCCACATACTACCTCTCAGAGTAGCAAAAAAGCCTAAAAACTGAGAAGTTACTGAAGTGTTGAGAGTCTCTCTCCAAAATTCTTGCCCTGTGTCAACTAAGAATGACCTCATCTCTAGACATTTCAGAGAGCAGAAAGGAAGCACACTGATCTCTTTCTAACAATGTTAGAATTTTTAAATTGGAAACTTTGCAAGATGCACTCATTGGCTACTGCCTCTAAACTTTTACCCCCAACCAACAGTAATAAGTGAGCATAGCTTTCATTAGCATAAGTTATGTGTTATTATTTTAACATCACTGAGTTCTAGCTCAGACAACTGTGGTTCCAGAACTGGTGGGACAAAGTTTGCTTTTACTCCATCATGTTTAGAAATCTCATGCTGTGGATCCGCCTTCATTCCTCAGTTGACTAGGCAACAGGATTACTTTCCTTTAAAGGCATTCCTTGGGGTGACAGTTGTGGCACAGTGGGCACAGTGCCCATATGCCATATAGAACTGCTGGTCTGAGTCCTGGCTATTCTGCTTCCAGTCCAGCTCCCTGCTAATATACCTGGAAAGCAGTGAATCGTAGCTCAAGTACTTGAATCCCTGCCACCGAAATGGGAGACCCAGATGAAGTTCCTGACTCCTGGTTTTGGTCTGGCCCACCTGGCTGTGCAACACTTTAAGGAATGAAGCAGTGGATGGAAGACCCCCCCTCCCTCCCTCCTCCTCTCTCCCTCCCCCCTTCCCCTACATGCAACCACCATGTAATTAGTCAGTACCACCTCTGCCCAAGCATCATGCTAGGACCTTCACATACATGATGTCCTCCTTTAAGGTAGCTGTCCTGTTCCATAAGGACCTTCACTATTTGTGAGAAGGTGGGAGAAATGACCAACCATCTCTAAAACTGGACTTAACATTAAGTATCAAAATGAGCAGCAACCACCTCAGCCCCCAGTTCAGTTTTTCCAAACTCTATTCCCCTTATTACTTATTTCTCAGACAAGACTGACTGAGACTCATTACAATGTCTTAAAGAAAGACAAAAGCCCTAATGAACAAAACTCATGAAATATTCTGCTGGTCTTCTGGAGAAAAACAGCCAGAGCTGACCTTAAGAATTCCACTAATTCCCCCTACCACACAGACTAAAAATAGCTAAAAAGCATTTCTAGTTAGTGATGGCCTTTCCTTTAAAGGAAATAATATGCAAAAAGGCATGCTGGGGTCATTAGCCCAAACCATGCAGTCCCATGATAAATCCTTGGCCAAATGTTCCTATGAGAATCTGCCTTCACATGGCCAACACTAAAGTTTCACTGTGATAGTACCCTGCCTCCCACTTTCCTCCCCACTTTTTAAAGACATACATTATCATTACCTGCAGGGCCACCAGAAACTCATTTCCCCTTTCTTGGCCTCAGATTCCACATGTTGACTTCTAAGAGCTTCTCTCCCTCTAAGACTTCCTGAGAGGTACATCCAATGGCTCCCTACAGCCTTTAAGGTACAGCTCAATCCCCTCAGTGTTACACTGGCCCATCCAGATCTGGCCCCTGCCTTCCTCTCCATTTCTCTTATTGTAGGAGCCATAGCTTGATGTTCAAGTTATGACCACTCGGAACTCTGTGCCTTTGGAACATGTAGCTCCCTCTGACTTCAAGGACCTTCTCCAGTTTCTTAAACTCCTGGTCATCTTTCAAGAAATAATCCAGGGGCTGGTACTGTGGCACAGTGAGATAAGCTGCTGTCTGTTAGCATACCATATTAGAGCACCATTTTGAGTCCTGGCTACTCCGTTTCCAATCCAGCTCTCTGCTAACGTGCCTGGGAAAGCAGAAAAGATGGTCCAGTGCCTGGGCCCCTGCCACCCACAAGGGAGACCCAGATGGCTCCCGGCTTTGTTCAGACCCAGCCCAGGCCACTGCAGCCATTTGGGATGTGAATCAGCAGACAGAAAATTGATCTTTCTCTCCCCCCCTCCCCCCACCAACACTCTTTATCTTTCTGTTACTCTTTCAAATAAATCTCTTTTAAAAAGACATAATCCAAGTCTCACCTAGCTCCTGATAAGTTGGGTTAGTCTCCTCCTCTGTGATCTCGCAGCACTCTTCATTTTATAGCATCTATCTACCTGTCTCCCTTACAAGCCTGAGCTTTCCTTGGAGGTAGAGACACCAACTCCCTCTCTCTCCTCTATATTCCCAGCACCAGACCTGTCTCTGTCATTCAATACTGGATAATAATGTATCAAATTCCAACAAAGATCCAAATTCATTTTGTAGCATTATTCCAAAAGACCAGATATTTATTTATTTTCAAGAAATGTTTTCTCTGTTCAAAAAGAAAGCAATCTTCAGGCCTTTCCCTTATTAGGAAAAAAATATATATATAGCTGTTCAGAATTGTGACATCATCTTTATAGAGTTGAAAAATATATACTACATTGGTCCCAGAGAAACCTCTCTTTAAACCAACTGAACCACAGAAGATTCAAAGTTATAAATGATGTCCAATTTGGTGGGTTTCTTTCCTTTACCAAGAGGAAAGAAAACCTCCAAAAGGGATAAATTATATACTCAATTTTCAGAATATGTTCGACCAAGCCCTGGAAGACCAGATGAAAAGCAGCAAGAAAGAATATAATCTTGTATTGAAAATCAAAATACTTCATGAACTATTAATAACATTAAAAGGCATGTGCATGTATCATAGAAGATAAAAAGTGAATTGGTGTAATTAATTGGTAGGACTTGGACTTGAGGAGTTAGAAAAGAAACAGGCATTTTGCCTTCCTGTATTACCTTTTTTCATTGTTATATAGTTATCTCCATAGCACATGACAAACTATCCACATTTTACAGGTGAAGAAACTGAAGTTCTCAGAGGTTAAGGGACATACCTAAACTCACGCTTCTTCCATGAAACAAAGTCTGGATTGGAGCCCAGGTCTACATTACCCCCAAAGTTCTGTCCAACAACCGGGAAGAACAGTGGTAAAGGCAGAAGAAAGGTTCCAGGCACATTGAGCCCTACAACAGAAACCAAAAATGTAAAGAGGAGCTGGGATGTCCCTCAAACCTCTGCACACGCAAGACACTGAGCTTTGAAATACAAAACATTGTTAAAATTGAGCAATGCAACAAGTTTTCAAAGGGACTTTCATTGTTTGTGTGATCCCAGTTTAGAAGCACATAAAAATAAATCTAAAGGATGAAGAGTAGGCAGGAAGTATGATATTACAGCAGCAAAGCTGTTTTTCCTAAACCATCACAAACACCTTGAACTGATCTGGAAAAGAGCTTGTTATATTTGCCAAAGCTTTAAAACACCTCCAAAGGCAGGCACAAATGATCACTGACACACCTATCAGAGCCAACCTCTGCCCTGCCTAGGGGCACACTTGAAGAATTGGGTTCCTGTCCTTCCTCCATCACTAATGACTGAAACCCTTGGCTTCCCTTACCTCTCTGGTGACAGTGCCTATACAATGAGATGTTTGGACTGAATCTCTCAGGTACCTTCCAGCTGTTTCTTTTTCCCCTCATGGGCATTAAACCAACTAACAAATGAATATCAAGACCACCCGCCAACCTAGCTAAAGGAGCAAAAGATACAGAGGTACACTACTGGAGGTCCACAAAGTATCTTGCTGCCTGGCACAAAATACCTTTTTAGAAACTAAATGTTTTTTTCCTAAGATGTAGTTATAGTAAAGAAGAGAAAGACAATAAGGATCATAGGGTACAGAAACTGGCCAGTCTTCTTCTCTTTCTGCCTTCCTCCATCCTTACGAAGTGTCCTCTGTTTGGGACTAACCTAGGCACAATAGACACAACTATTACATAGTAAGACCTGGCTCCTATTGTAAGATTTTAGCTCAAGCAATAAGAGTGTGGGTTTACATTATCCTGTAATACACACACACACCCCTCCAAACCACCTCAGGAGAAAGGAACAACAGGTAGGAATGAGTATCATCACAAGCCTGTCCTTTAAAGATATGAAAACTAAGGCTCAGCAAGGTCATGCGGCTTATCCAAGGTCACACAAGTGCCAGGTGACAGAGCTGGGAAACAAACACATTTACAAAGGAGGAAGAGAACTAGACAACAGGGTATATTTCAGTGTCAGTTGTGTGATTTTAGGGGAAATAAAAAAGATCAGGGCAGGGCTGGCACTGTGGTACACTGGGCTAAGAATCCACTTGAGACACTGGCATCCCATATGAACATTGATTCAGGTCCCAGCTTCTCCACTTGTGTTCCAGCTCGCTGCTATGGCCTGGGAAAGCAGTAGAAGATGGCCCAACTGTTATGGCCCCTGTGCCCATGTGGGAGACCCAGAAGGAGTTCCTGGCTCCTCACTTCAGATAGGCTCAGCTCCGGCCATTGCAGCCATTTGGGAAGTGAACCAACAGATGGAAGACATTTCTGTCTCTCCCTCTCTTTGTCTTATAACTCTACCTCTCTAATAAATAAATACATAACCTTTAAGAAAAAAAAAAAAACAGAGATCAGGGCAAGAATCAGGAAGAGTCAAGACTTGAGTTGAGCTTTGGACAGGGAGCAAACTTCAGACAAATCACATGCAAATTCATTATGTTCAATGCATAAGATAGCATAAGCACTATTTTGGAAAGGGTAGAGTACAAAAAAATAAAAGGATGCCTAGACTTATACACATACAAAAGAACACTTTCATTTAAAAAGTAGGTATTCATAAGCCACCATTAGTATCCAGCAAGTGTGTGCCTGCAGTCTTCTTCCCAGGAGTAGAAATGGGTGGCCCTGAACCTTACCTGCCCCCTGGCATTCACAGTGGCATTAGGAAGACGGTTCACATGGGGTTAGGGATATGGGATCTGTACCACTGAGCTAAAGTGAAATCCTCTGACCTTGGCACTCTTGACCATTACTGCAACTCTCTAAGCTAACTGCCCTTCTCAGTCAAGGTGTTCCCCTGTGTAGCTGTCATTAATCACATGCTTGTATAGCAAGCCTGCCTTCCCAGGCTGCATTCATTGCTGCTGTGGCTCAAGAATGTAATTAATGAGCAACTTGGACCCACTCTTGTAGTAGGAAGGGAATGGCTGGGAAACATTTTGAGGTGATGATAGAGACTCAAAATTATAGAAGAGCTTAATAAAACAGGCTCAGACTCTGAATACTACACAGAATGGTATTTAAGTCAAACAAACAAACAAAAAAAAAAACAACAGAGAATTGAGAAACTGTACAATCATGTGGAGGTCCTCAAGAGGGGGTATCTCAGACACAAAGAGTGAAATCTAAGTTAAACCTTAAGCCTGGATCTGGTAGGGAACCTAAGTGATAGGAACTCTTTGCAGAATTACAGGTTTTACTTCTTACCAGTGAGACTTTGGTCAACCCTCCAGAATTCTAACTCCAATTTTATTTCATGAGGTAACCCTTCCAATAATACCTATTACAGCAAGAGTTCTGAGATGAAATCCACCCAATACAGAATGGAATAAGATTCAACCATCCTGCCTTCCCAAACCCTCCCCCGCCAAAAGCAACTGGTAAACATAGGGATGGGTGGAGGCGGGACTAATGATGGTGTTTCTCAGGAAGTGGTTTTGGAGTTTGGACTTGAAGCTGAAAGTGACTCTTTCTACCAAAGGGAATTCAACCCTTCTCTTCCTTGACATCAGCTCACAGTTCTAATTGTGGGGCAAACACAATCCCTTGGGAAAAAGTTCCCAAGTTATAGAGCAGAACCAGTTCCAGCCTCTTCTCAGCCTTTCCAGCGTCTTGAAGGGGCTCATTAGAAGATGGCAAGGCCTTCTGCAGACACACACCAGTGGGGACTTGAAGATTTGAGTGACTGCTTAGTCATGTCTAAGATTAGTGAGGAGGAACAGGAGACATACATGTGTGTGCATGAACACACAATCTATCTGAAACATAGGACACATACATTCTACATACATTATATATACTATGAATGTATCTATACAAGTAAATTCTATCCAATTTAGTTCTTAATCATTTGCAAGAGATTTAAAAATCCTGAGAATTCCTCACTCTATTAGTATTCAAAGAAAGGCTAGGTGATTGTTAAGCAATTGAACAAAAGATGTTTAAAAAGTTCACAAAAGATGCAAATTCTGAAAAATAATGCACGGATTTCAAAAGTTCCTTGCACCAAAAACAAGCTTATCTTTCAATTCCATTTTTCCACAAACTTTTTGAAGTACTCTTATAGAACCAAGATTCTGATTTCCAGGTAGTTAGTAAAATAAGCCTTCTTTTCCCTATAGAAGAATGTCCTAATATGGCTTATTTTGACCCAGATGTAATTACTTATTAGGAGGGGTAAAAGGATTATATGTAATAGAATAGTAATAATAACAACAATGACTATTAATATTGTTTCCATGAAGATCCCCCATGCTGGAATGTTTATTCAAGCCACCTCACTGAATCCTCAGTCCAACTCTGTAAGGAAATTTCCATGATCACTCCAATTTTACAAAAGAACTGAAATCAAAGAAGTACAATAACTTCACCTCTATATATCCTCTTAAATATTATGTTATATACAGATATGGGTAAATATTATAGATATAAGCTATTGCCTATAAAGTGACATAATGGTGCACTGCCATTGTGGTACACCAGGTTAAGCCACCTCCTGTAACATCAGCATTTCATATGAGCACTGGTTCAAATCCCAGCTGCTCCAGTTCCAATCTGGCTCCCTGCTGCTGCACCTGTGAAAGCAATGAAAGATGGCACAAGTGCTTGGGCCCCAGTATCCACCTGGGAGAACTTTATGGAGTTCCCGTCTCCAGTCCAGCCCTGGCCATTGTGGCCATTTGGGGAGTGAATCAGCAAATGGAAGATCTCTCTTCTCTGTCTTTCCCCCTCTCTATCACTCTGCCTTTCAAATAAACAAATGAATCTTTTTTTAAAAAAGTGAAATAATGAAATTCCAAGTTTTCATTTTAAAAACTATAAACATACGAGTCACGTAGCACTCATAAAATCTCCTTTTTTCCCTAGTTGATGTATACCTTAAATAAAAGGAAAACTGAAAAGATTTAGGTAAAACAATTTTATCCGTAATTTTGATTTCAGAGGAAGGAATAAAACACTCATTTTATAAATTCTTAACTAGCAAAGGTCAATCAATAAATGGCTCTTATGGGCATGCTGTGTATGACTCATTAGATACATCTCAGAGCACAAAGGGGCCATGACTGCAGACCACTGTGTATTAGAGAATACTGTCTGGAGATTAAGCAAGGTTGGTTTTACTCCCAGCTCATCTGCTCCCTTTTGATGTGGTACTGGGAAAGTCACTTTCACCTTGTGAAATTCTATCTCCTCATTTGCAAAGTTAGGGCACTGAAAAAGATGTTCTCTTTCATAGATGCCTTCCAACAATAAAATTCTGTCACTCAGGTGAATGAAACAGCACAATTCAGGACACAGCAAAATTTTGCTACAATGAAAATGGCCCAGTAGCTTATTAGTAAACCTCTCATCTCACTCCAAAGCCCAGAGTTGCACCATCCCAAAGGTCGCAGAAGCAGGTTAAAATAGTCAGTCTTTCACCTATTGTTAGCCTCCTCTAAAGAGTGGGATAATTTTCAACCACATTAAAAATCTCTTTATAATACTGTGAAATATGTATATTTGATCTTTGTCCCCATTTCCTGAAACACAGCTCCTAAAACCCTTGGTATCTTGGAGGGAAAAGAGTGCCTTGTGTAAGCTGATGAGATGATTGATTGGTGGCTGGAAGCCCTGTGGTAGCTTCTGAATGGGAGCTGGTTCCAGGAAAAACTAAGGTGTGATTAGAGAGAGGCAATTTTCAGTCCCACCCACCACCCTCTGGAGAAGTAGGAAGAGCTGAAAGTAAAGTTCATCATCAATGGCCAATGAATTAATCAATCATGACTATGTAACAACACCCCCAAAGAACTGGGTTTAGAAAGCTTCCAGATAGCTGAGCAGAGTGCATGGAAAGTCTTGAAGCAGCCTGGTGTGGAGGTCAGGAG